GCAATGAAGCAAATTAAGAAAAAAATGTTACTCACATTTATAACATAGGACCGTGATGATGAATCTATGACACGTGTGTCACAGGTGGCACGTAGAGCCCTTTCTATGGGCACACCAGCTGTTGCCCCAGACCAGCTACACTGTGCATGTGTGTGGGCCTCTCGCCGGCCAGCTAGTCTTCAGGTCTTTGCCTGGCATGCGCGGGGGGCAGGGCACATGCACGGTGGGTGCTCACATTGCATTTTGGGGTTTCACGCACACTCACGCTTTGGGCAATCAGCACCAAAAAGGTTAACCATCACAGATATAGAATTTGATCTTTCACTGATATCTGTTGGTTAGTAGAATCGGGCAAGGATTTTTATCTTGTAGAGCAGATCATCACATAATACATTTATAGAACTTGCTCCACGATATGATTAGCATGCCACACGTTTTGATTGTATCTGATAATTATCTCAGAATATTCAATTACCATGGCTGCCCAGTTTTGTTTTGTTTTTATAAACTTTTTCAACCTTGTGCTGCAACTCTAAAGCTGTGGAAAATGCTTTGCTCTTATCTCTAGCTTCAGGTTTGGAAGTGGGTGAGGATGGCTGCTTTTTTGACATTTGAAGTTTCCAAGAAAGGAGACATTCCTTCCGTAATTGGGCAACACTTAGGAATGCACACAAATTATGGGTTTAACAGCTCCACAATTAAAAGAATACATGTGAATCACTGTTCATTTTCCATTTGTGAACTGACAGCCTTTTTTACATAATTCTCAAAGAAAATTAGTTCACAAAGCAAGGAGTCACATTAACAGCTATTAAATATGATGGTTACGTAGAACCCTAATGTACAGAGGTAGTAAACTATTTAAAAAAGTGCCTGGAGCAAAAGCAGTAAAGAATTATTGTCAATATGTTTTAATATTTTCTAAAAATGGTGGTTAAGGTTAGGGGCTTGTGATTCAGCAGAACTCTTACCGTGTTTCTCCAAAAATAAGACAGGGTCTTATTTTCTTTTGACCCCAAAATAAGCGCTTGGCCTTATTTTTGGGGAGGTCTTATTATTTCTGAGGTGCAGGAGGCGGCAAGTGTGGTCACCTCATGGCTGCTCCTGTGTTGCAATATTTTCAAGTAGGGCTTATTTTGGGGGGAGGGCTTATTTTAGTGCATGTGCTCAAAAGCTCTATTGGGCTTTTTATATGGGGAGGGCTTATATTTTAGGGAAACAGGGTAATAGTTAACCTGTCAGCCTAAAATTTTTAATAAACATTTTGCACAAGTAAAGAAAAACATATTTCAGTGTCAAGTATAATGTATTTTGTTGCCCTTCCTTAGGAAGTCTTAATTTGTCCAGGTTAATACAACCATTTCCTGGTTTTCTCAGTTCAAGGCTGATAGAACAAACTGAGATGCAAGGGTAGATGAGATGAAATGACAGGCATAAATATATTTACCATCAGAATAATGGTAAATATTGTTTCGATATGTGAGATTGATACACGTTTTGATTTGTCTTTAGTGATGCATTATATTCTCAATGGAGAAGAGCTTTCCTACAAACCAAATAGAAATAATAGTCCTTATTTCTCCATCTAGGTTATTCGGCCATGCCTCCAACTTGTTTTTTTTTCTGTGGGAATTTTTCTTCTACTCCATATGGAAAAAATCAAATTCAGTCATTAAAAGGTACTTGGAATCCATCACCTTCCTGTTTTTTTAAAAATAAATAAAATATATTATATTCTATATAAATAAAATGTATATATTTCAAGATAATGTGTATTCTCTATAAAAATATTGTTTGTATTTGTGTTCTGAACTCCATAGGGCTTTTTATTTTTCTGGTCTTTCTTGTTTTCTAATTCTGAAATGAAGATTGACAAGAGGGAGAGAAAATAACTACAGTACTTTTTTGTCGTCTTTAGATTCTTTGAAAGCCCTAGCAGATATAATATGTGAATATCCCAGTATCCATGAAAGGTATGTTCCATTATATTTGCTTGGTGAAATATCTTTATAGAACACCTCTTTCCCACATTAATCACATAGAAATCACCCCCATGTCGAAATTTATTTCAGCTGTAAAAAAAAGACACTTAAAATAGCTGAAAATAAAATAGCTAAAAATTCTATTCAAACAAGTCTAATGAATATTGTGTTAGCTGGGAACTGAAGCTACAAAATCCAGAGGTATTGTGTCTTTTTATGTGTCAGGCTTGGAGGCCACGAGAGCACATTGTGGGTAGCAAATGATAAAAATATGTGTGACATCATACAAGGGGTCCTAACCTACCTACTTGGAATGGATTCTTGACATCTAGATGCATGTCAACATTTTAGTGTCATGATTTGTTGTAAATGCTGCTACTGGAAGTGGCATTCAGTTTAAGTCCTTACTTTATTTTGGAAGGGCTGATTCTACAGATGAGAACTCCTGGGAAATTACCTAGTTCAAATCATATATTACTTGGCCCAGCTTCTTAAACCCTAATTATCTTTAATAACATTACACTAAATTTTAATAAACATTCCATTTTATATCCACCAGTAATACTAAATCAAATGTATTCATTATTTGTAGAAGTCGATTTGTATTTGTTCCTGGTTCTGAAGACCCTGGTCCAGGCTCCATTTTACCAAGGTACATTTTGACCTAATATCTGTAATAAGATTATGTCATTGAGAATCTGTAGTGTTTTTCATTTGTATGTATGTATGTGTGTATGTATGTATGTATGCATGTATACACATACACGTATCCTTTTTTTAGGCCACCACTTACTGAAAACATTACTGAAGAATTCAGACAACAGGTGCCATTTTCAGTTTTCACAACAAATCCTTGCAGGTACATGTTCCTTATATGACCATTTAATAATAGTGGATTTCTGCACCAGGCACAGGATTAGAATAATGGTCACCAATGTGTTCCTATTTTATTTATTTTGGTGATGTTATAAAAACATTGGCATTCCATGATAGCTGAAATTTTATAGCAAACTTTGCTATGGAGTAAAATTATGTTCTGACCCTTCAGAGGACCACTGGAAGCAATCTGGTGATCCATCACCAGAAAGGTCAGGTTACAATTATTTTATCCCATTTAAAGGGTAAGAGGCCTTTGAAAGCCAAATGTTTTTGATCCTCAGCCTTATGTTATCCCTAACCTATTAAGAGCCCCAAACACCTCTTAGTGGGAATTTGAGCTATGTTTGTTGCCAGAGATGGATTTCCAGAAATCCCCCTTCCACTTCCATATCCTCCCTCCCAAACCACAAAAAATGAGCTGAAACTGCTATTTGAGGGTGCATTAGGTAATTTAGGAGTTCAACAATGTTGAAATATTTGTCAGGTTGCAGGTACATAAAGATCACTTATCTCTATTTCTCAGCAACAAATCTATACAAAAAATTGAGACAGAGCTGCTGGCATATTTGTCTTAATGGTAAATTTTCTTTGGTTTTTGGTGAATCCTCAGAAAAGAAACGTTGCATTTGTTACTTTCAGAGTCCAGTATTGTACACAGGAAATAATAATCTTTCGGGAAGACTTGGTAAACAAGATGTGCCGTAACTGTGTCCGTTTCCCTAACAGTAGTTTGGATATTCCTAATCATGTAAGATCAAAAAAGCATTCACTAACTATTTTGAATTAAAGTTTGGGTTGAGGGATTTTAATTGATTAAGAAATTGAAGGAAGTATAGGAGTAAGGTATTCCCCTTGTTTGAAGTTCTTACTGATTTGGTTACTGTTTAGGCATATAACATCAAACAATTAACAAAGATTTTGTGCAGGAAACAATGCAGAGACAATGAGAGACAGTATGAAACATGTAATTTAGTGGAATAACTATATTAAAATATAATATGGATTAAGGTAACTACAATGGAGAATAATTTTCCTAGCAAAGAATGGTTCATTGAAATCTTCTGCAGCTATTTACCAGCTCTGTATGGTGATCACTCTACTTTAGATGGTGTATTTTTAAGGGAATCTCACAGTATTGCTCAGAATAGTGTTCTCAAGTTCCTTCAAAACTGAGGGAATTAAAACAAATCCTAGATCTAGTTTCACAATCTGGTAAACCAATCAAGTCTGTTAACAAACACATTTTACTGACCAACAAACAGGACAAAATCAATTTTGAAATCTGTAGTTATTTATTTGCAATAATTCATGTAGAGCTAAGGGGTTCTATGTTTGGAAAGAATTGCAACATCAGTTTACCTTCATATGTAATTTAATAGCACTGTTTTTCATCTTTCAGTTTGTAAAAACTATTTTATCACAAGGACATCTGACTCCATTGCCTCTTAATGTCAGTCCTGTCTATTGGGCATATGACTACACCTTGAGAACCTATCCTTTGCCAGATCTAATTGTTTTTGCTGACAAATATGACCCATTCACTGTAACCAACACCGATTGCCTTTGTATAAATCCGGTAAGATCTTGCTTATATTTTTCCATTCTCAAATAATGATGAAAACATGTTTCTAACAAGCAAAATATATTAGAAATAACAAAGCTGCTCATATCCCAGACTAACAAATTCTCCACATAATATTTGTTGCAGACTTTTGTTGTTGTTGCTCATAATAGATATTATCTTCAGCATTAAGAAGCATAGTAGCATCTTCTGTTATTAAAAATAATCTTTCTGTCAGAGCATACATCTTACTTTCAAATGTTTTAAGATAGGCTAAAAATATTTCTTGAAGACAAAGTAAAAGAAAAATATATATTTGTAATTACTTCTGCCATATTTTCACTAATAAAGACTTAAGGTATGATGTATTTGAAATTATATTTAGAGATGTTAAGTATGCATTTTAAAATTATGCCTAAAGAAGAGACGTATATTCAAGAAGATAACATGTATTATTTTTTTCCTATGCTGTTTTTCTTAAATATCAGGGATCTTTTCCAAGAAGTGGCTTTTCATTCAAAGTATTCTACCCCTCTAGCAAAACTGTTGAAGACAGGTAAGGTCGCTTATTAAAGAAAAATTACTGAGTATACAAGAACATCTACTATACTGTTCTTCATGCTGTCTGATAAAAACAGATATAACTTGATAGTTGTAAACTTATTGAATAAATATAGCTTGACAAAATAAATTATCACCATTTTTATTTTGTATCTCCAGCTATATCACTATTAATTATATAAAATAAATATGTGCTTTTTGTATAGATATGATATGGAATTAATAAGAATGTAGAATAGATAATTAGAACAGTAACATGAAGGAGTTGTTATTGTGTTGAAGAGCACAGCTCTGATAAGGGTAAGGTAATGAGACATCTTTTGCTGGCTCTCCTTTCAGACTGCATGGTGTCTGTGTTCAGTAATAAAGGTAGCCTGTTTTCAGTTTATATTTGAAAATGCTATAAATAAATGCAGATTTGATAATATGGAAGCAGTTGTTGTTATATCCACAGAATGTCAGCTGATAAACAAGATTAATAATGTCCTTTTGCTAGATACCTGAGAGAAAGTTTATTTTGGCATGATTAATGATTTCTAACTATACCCAGATTAGGCATACTATGGGACTGCTTTAGAAAGATACAGAATTTTCTTTACAGATTGTGTTGAAAGCAACCAATCAAAACATGGAGCACTAATTCTGTAGCAGTTATGAAATGCTGGGCTTGAGTTTTACAATCTTAATAGTTTGGAGCCATTTTAGAGTATTATTACACAAACCCAATTGGATATTATCATTTTCCTCACAGATTTCTTATGTAATGAATCTCATACCTTAAAAAAAACAAGTGGCCTTAGTGTATAAATGTTGAAGGATATTTTTTTAAATGTCCAGGTTGCCTTTCCTTCTATCTGACTTGAGCAATTGAATTTAATATAGATTTGTTTCTGTAGAGATTTTTAAATATTGTTATCTGAGTTGTGAAAGTTATGTTCCAAGACAGAGTATATGTATGAATAATTGAGTCAGATATATAAATTAATAATGTTAATGATATCAAGTGTTAATCTTTGATGTAGTAGTGCAGAGGATAAAGAAGTAAACATTCTCTAAATTCTGGTACTTCAAGAAAAGAAGTACTATGTTGGTTTGAAGACTGCCAATGTAGATACAAGTAATGTTAACATTGTTTTTTGTTTTAAATTTTCAGCAAACTCCATGGTCTCTAAATCTCAATCAGAAGAATAAGCCAAAGTTTCTGGCCTTAAAATGACTGAAGAACTACAACTGTTCCTTAAAATTTGGGATCATGATTGTAACCTCATGTTAATAGCTAATATATCTTATGTATTATATATCTTGTAAATACATTTTTATATAAGGATGTTCATGTGTTATATTTTATACTTCAAATAATTTTTTACTCTTACAAAAAGAAATCTTTTATATTGCTCCTCACTTCCACAATATTCAAACAAAGATCTATTTAACTTTCTTCTGATTAGTAATAACTAAATAATCTGAATATTCTTTAGAACAAATATATAAGTTTAAACAAGACTATATATAGTATGGGAGGAAATACTGGCCCTTAAAAATGACCATATTAAAACATACTCAATCTCTGTTAAGTAACCAAGATGGAATATCTAAAATTTGGGGGGGGGAAATCAACTATCACTAGTTTTATAACTTTTTAAGATGCCTGCATACAAACTGTTCACTATAGTATTTTAACAATTTTAGTGGCTCATTTTTTTTCTCCTTTGTGAACTACAGAACTAGTGTAATTCCTTAACTTAATAGTTGCTTTAATAAGCAGCTATCCCAAACTCCAATGCCTCCAATTTAGTTAGAACTAAAACTCCCAGAATTTAAAGGCAACATGACCCAAAGTACAGTAAAAAAGCTAAAATCTGCAACTGTCCTGAATTTAGAAGAGCAATAAAGATTCTTGATTTGTGTTGCTAAGCATTAACAATGTCTTAAAAGAGAAAACGTTAGAAACGTACTTTTTTTCTTTTAAATGAAAGAGGATATTGCCCACAAGTTACTTGTACACACCAACAGCAAGTTTCAGGAATTGTGATATAAGCTTTAGAAAGGCTCACACAAAATGGAAGTCTTAAGTTATTTTTAAACGTTAATGGCTTGAAGGTTACTTTGAATACATCTATATACTACTAAAACTCTTGTTCCTGTAACCTTCAGCTGGGCGAAACAGCACATCAAACATTTTCATACAAGGTACTTCAAATGGCTAATTTATGGAATGCACTTGAAATCCTGGACCCATGGTTCCCATGGAATTGAAATTTGGCATTTTAATAAAATATTTTATTCCTGTGATCAATTGCTATGTTTGGCTACTATATAGTTCAAAGAAGGTACATCTGTGAGTATCTCTCTGGAATTTGTAAAAAGTGTTTCCAATACATTAAAACCTCTGCCATCATTCAAAAGCATTGAGGAATGTGGTAGAAAAATATGTTGACCTAGTGAGTCATGGGTTGTCTAGTAAGCTAAGACCTGAACAAATATTAGTCATACGCTGAAAAAATGCTTTCATGTTTGATTGAGAAATACGATTGATGGAACTTGGGTATGATCCTCTCCAACTTGCCAGCAGTCTGCTTTTGGCCATCACAACAGGCGTGATAGTTGTAATGGCATACAGAGACAAGGCATGATTAGCCAGTAAAAGTTATTATCTACTGCTTACAGAATTAGTCAATACATATATTTATTCTTTCCTGTCTCTGCCCTGTGAGTACGACCACCACCATTGTGCCAGGCTTGGCAAGAAGGTATCTAAAAGAAAGCAGATACAATAGCTATTCCTGATACCAGCAGTTTATTCCTTGCCTTCTGGGCATACAAGGGAACTGAGGGCTGGGTCTGCTCTGCTGCACTATCCCAAAAACGTTCAGAGGTAGCAAAACATTGATGCTTGGATTCTAAAAAGACCTCTTAAACTTCATAAAGACAGGCAAGTTTACATCTGGTGTTTTCCTACTTTAGCTTGGCAATTATTTGGAAGGCTTCTAGTATGTTGCCAAGAATCTGTCATAATTTGGCTCTGATCCTGTTCCTTATATTTTCTGGCAAAGATCCCTTTGCCATAAAGAGGTCCACGCTCTCAAGAGCACTTGGCCTATTTTGTGTCCCAAAAGGGGATGAGCCGCCATTCCGTTTACTATGGTCGCTATGGCAACACACCAGCCCCGCCATATTGGTAGGAATGTTTCCATGGTAACAAAACCACGCGCGAGCGATAGCCGCCACATCGTTTGATTTAGTATCTACAGGGACCAAGACAGTTGCCCTGTGTGCAACTGTCTGTCGAGCCGGCCGAGCAAAGGTAACGAAGCCCGCATCGCAGGCATGACGGACCATTTAGGCCTGGAGGACTTGAATCTGACAGGAGAAGAAGCCGAGCGCCTGACAAACGCTTTCAAGGAGGACGGATTCCGCACTCTTTTCGCGGAGTACGTGGCCGAACTGAACGATCCCGAACAAAGGGCCATTTATGAGGCCGAAGTGATAGCTATGGAGCGGCAGCGGGGCGTCGAAGCCCGCTTCCTCCACCCAACCCCGGGCTGGGTCCTGCGCACGAGCCAGGCTGGTAGCCGGCGCTGTTACATTAACATCTGCAGCAACCGGCTAATCGGGAGGCCGGAGTCTCGGCCAGCGCCTGGAGGTTCCTGCTGGTTCCTGCCACACTCCTTAGCCCCGGGACGCGAGGAATTGAGCCGCAAAGAGCCGCGTGGGCCTCGCCGTCTGGTCTACGACGTCGTCTTCCACCCGAGCACCCTGCGCTTGGCCGGCCGCATGACCCAATTCCGCCGCCTGGTGAACGACACGGCCTTGGAGGCGATAGAGAAAAATTTCTCCCCGCAACTGGACCGCACGAACGCCGTCCCCCTCAACCGCATCAAGTATAAGGGCGTCCCGCAGGCCACGCTGCTCCGGACGCCGCTGGCCGCAGGAGCTCGACCGTCCCCAGAAGAGCCTGGAGAGCCAGACGACTCCCCCTTGCCGCCTTTTCCTTCGCCCTACACCTACCCGCCGCCCAGCCCGCAGTACGAAGCTCTGAGGCCCCCTCCGCCCAAGCCACCCCCGCTTGCCACCACTCCGCAATGGACCCTCCGGCACCGCTCCTACGTGGACCTTCAGGATTATCGCAACGCCCGGGACTCCGCGCCTAGCCCGATCCCCCGCGAGTTGGTGATGACCATTGAACTGCCGTTGCTCAGCTCTGCCGCGCAGGCCCAGCTGGAGATCCGTGGCCAGGAACTCCAGCTGGACTCGCAGCGTCCTGCCGCTTATCGTCTGCGCGTCCCGTTGCCCTACGCAGTGGACGAGAGCCGTGGCCGGGCCACGTTCAACAAAGCCAAGAAACAACTGGTGGTCGTCCTGCCGGTTTTGCGGAAGCCTGACACGGGCCTTGCTTTCAGCGTTCAAGCTGAGCAGGAGCAAATCGAGAAAACGCCAGAAAACGAGGAGCAGCTACCAGAAAACAGCGGCATCAGCCCGGATAAGGACGATGCGGAAGTGTGTCAAAAGACGAGCTATTCTGAGCAGGCGCTTTCCGTTCTTGCGTCCGACGTAGAAATAACTCCGTCACCCACTTTGGCTATTGCTACAACCAATGATGCTGTGGATGCTGCTTTACTTTCTGACTTGAACGGCCCGATTCCGCTCTGTGTCCACGAACGCACTACATATGACAATCTGGACTTTTCGATGCATGCGGGAGAAGAGAATCCCCTCGTTTCCTGTGCTTCTGAATTTAGTGCTGCACTTCCCGCGTGCAACGAGAACAACAGTGAAGGGAGTGAAGCGAATCCGGGGTTAACCAGAAGCAGTAACAACGTGGTCTTGGGGGCACAGCCTGAAGGTACCGGCTTAGATTCCCTTTCCCCCTCTCTGCATACTGACCACACTTGGAAGCTCCCTACAGATCCTGCCGTTTCTTTAAACCAGGAGCATCTCTGTACCGACATGGAACTTAATAAAAGTCCCAACATCGCTAATGTTGAACTCCCATCGTGTCCAGATAACAGCACAATCCCGTGTAAATGGCCCTCTGTAACTTTGGATCATTCAGAGACAATTTTGTCAACTGATAATCTAGATCAGAGTCCAGAGTTTTCTGGAAACTCAGATACAGCAAACCCCACTACTACTAACCATGTGGAACATTCTGTTTTGTATCCTGGAAAGAGACCCATTGTTTCTTCTGTTCAGCCTTCACAAAAGCTTGAAATTGCTGTAGATACTCATATAACCTCTACTTGCAGTCCTGATCCTTCAATATCTTCCCCCAGCACTCTGTGTCCTCCTTTTAATTGTACTCAAGATGAAAAGTCTTTGGTGATCCTCTTACAGGTTCCAGACGTTGTTCCCCTGAGTTTCCAAGGGGAAGTGGGCACAAATTATTACTGGGTGAATTTTGCAAACAGAGACTCTATTTCCTTCAATTTCCTCTTGCAGTTTCTTCCCGAAAATAAATTATCTTCTCCAGAAAGTGAAATTAACATATCACCTAATAATGTTGTCATTATCCTCACCAAATCACCTGAAACCACTGGAATTTGGACAAAGTTCTATTGTGGTTCAAATTATGACAATTTACAGGTAAATTACTTTTTAGATTTTTATGTTACCTCCTATAGACTACTGTATTTAAGTTATTTACAATTTGGAAATACACATACTTCAAAATTGTTCATGTATTTCATTCTTTCTGTACAGAATGTGGGATAGTAGATTTTATCTAATTTGCCCAGTAATTTAATTCTTTCAGCAATTGTTTGAGATAATGAATTGATCCAAATTTACACTTGTTTGCTATTTTGTTATCACAGTATGAAAGTTAGCATAGCAAATATATTCCAAAACAAGTTCTCATAGCTCTATTTTAGGTTGTAGATTTACTTGATGCAGTAAATATGTAATTGCTTAATTACTGTGCATTTCTGATATTTTTGATAGTGGCTTGATGTTCTGTGAATGGAAATCATAGTTAGGACTCTTTAGAAATAAGATGTGTCAGAATACTGGACTATTGGAAGGAGAGACAGTTATGCCACTGCCTGAGGTAACAGTGGTTTCCTCTTGCTGTTTTTCTTTAACTGCTCAGCTACTTTAATATTGTAGTTGGATATGAAGGTTATTACTTGATGGCCGTAGTTAGAAAGTTATAAGTCACTTGTGACTCACTCACAAGATCACTCACAAGATCACTGATAAAAAAAGTTCTAGATTGTAGAAGCTCTATGTCTTGGTATACTTTTCATATAATGCTAAATCATTGCCAGCAGAAGATGCCCATATAAAGCACCTGGCTCAAACATTCTCCCTTTTCACCACCGCCTATGGGATGGAGAAATAAAATAAAATGTAGCTTATAAGATTCTTGGTTTCATACTGATGAAAGAAATGTCCTTCTGGGTTCGGCTCCAAGTGGGGGAAAAGACACTGGAGACATGGAGGCTG